TAGAATTAAAAATCATAAGCAGAATATTCTTGGTATATTCTCATATTTTAGTCAATTATTTATTTATATCTCTAATATGACACTCACCTTTTCTCTGAAAAATGAATGCTTTTTTAAAAAATTTATTGTTGACATTACAGATATCCTCTATTCTCCCCTTTTACCAACCTCAACCCAGCCCCCACACCTATCTCTCTGTCCATCACCACACTGTTGCCTGTGTTCATATGCTATGCATATATGTTCTTTAGTTGATCTCTTCACTTTCTTTCATCCAGTATCCACTACCACCCTCCCCTCTGACATCTGTCAGTCTGTTCCATGTATCTATGCCGCTGGTTCTATTTTGTTTGCCAGTTTATTTTATTCATTATATTCCACATATAAGTGAGATCATATGGTATTTGTCTTTCTCTGGCTGGCTTATTTCACTCAGAATGATAATCTGTAGCAGGTCCATCCATGCTGTTACAAAAGATAAGAAATCCTTCTTTATAACTGTGTAGTATTCCATTGTGTAAATGTACCATAGCTTTTTATCCATTCCTCTACTGATGGACACTTGGGCTGTTTTCAGATCTTGGCTATTATAAATAATGCTACAATGTACACAGGGTTGGGTATATTCTTTTGATTTAGTGTTTAGAATTTCTTTGGATATATTCCAAGAAGTGGAATTGCTGGGTCATAAGGCAGTTCCATTTTTAATTTTTCAAGGAAACTCCATACTGTTTTCCACAGTGGCTTAACCAGTCTGCATTCCCATGAACAGTACACGATGGTTTCTTTTTCTCCACATCATTGCCAACACTTGTTTGTTGGTTTAATAATGGTAGCAATTCTGGCAGGAGTGTGGTGAAATGTCATTGTGGATTTAATGTACACCTCTCAGATAACTAGTGACATTGAGCATCTATTCATTTGTCTATTGGCCATCTTTATGTCTTCTTTGAAGAAGTGTCTATTCGGGTCCTTGGCCTATTTTTTTTTTATTTGAATTGTTATTTTGGTGTTGAATTTTATAAGTTCTTTATATATTTTGGAAATTAACCCCTTATCAGGCATATCATTGGCAAATATATTCTCTCATACAGTCGGTTCCCTTTTTATTTTGTTGCTGGATTCCTTAGCTGTGCAGAAGCTTTTTAGGTTTATAAGCTTTTTAATTTTTTCCTTTGTTTCCCTTGCTCTAGGACATACATTGGCAAAAATATTGCTGTGTCTGAGATTTTACTACATATATTTTCTTCTAAGATTTTTATGGTTTTCTGACTTACATTTAAGTCTTTTATCCATTTTAAGTTTACTTTTATATATGGTGAAATCTGGTGGTCTTGTTTCAGTTTTTTGCAGGTACCTGTTCCATTTTCCAAATACCATTTATTAAAGAGAATGTCTTTACTCCATTGTATGCTCTTAATTCCTTTGTCTAATGTAATTGACCATAAAGATGTGGGTTGATTTCTTGTATCTACATTCTGTTCCTTTGAAGTATTTGCCTGTTCATATGCCAGTATCAGGCTGTTTTGATTACAATGGCCTTGTAGTATCATCTCATCATGTATAATGATACTTCCAACTTTGTTCTTTCTTAAGATTGCTGATGCTATTCGGAGTCTTTTGATTCTATATAAATCATTTTGGGGGTATTTGTTCTAGTTCTGTGAAATATGACATTGGTATTTTAATAGGAATTGTGTTGAATCTATAAGTTGCTTTGGGTAGTATGAACATTTTAATGATGTTAATTCTTCCAATTCATGAACACAGTATATGCTTCTCCTTACATGTATCTTCCTCAGTTTTTTTCTTCAATGTTATACAATTTTCTGAGTATAGGTCTTTTACCTACTAAGTTAAATTTATTCCTAGGTACCTTAATTTTTGTTGCATTAGTAACTGGGATTGTTTTCTTAGTTTTTTTTTCTGATAGTTCATTGTTGGTGTATAAAAATTGCCACCAATTTCTGAACATTAATTTTGTATCTTGCTACATTGATGAATTCATTTATTAGATCTAGTGGTTTTTTGATGGAGTCTTTAGAATTTTCTATGTACAATGTCATGTAATCTGTGAATAATGACAGTTTTACTTTCTCCTTTGCAATTTGGATGACCTTTATTTCTTCTTCTTTTCTGAATGCTCTGGCTTGGACTTTCAGTATTATGTTCAATATGAGTGGTAAAAGCAGACATCCATGTCTTGCTCCTGATCTTAAGGGAAATGATTTTAGTTTTTGCCCATTGAGTATGATGTTAGCTGTAAGTTTTTCATATATGACCATTATTATATGGAAGAATGGTCCCTCTATTCAAACTTTTCTGAGAGTTTTTATCATAAATGTGTGCTGGAATTTATTGAATGTTTTTTCTATATCTATTGATAAGAATATGTGATTTTTAAGTTTCATTTTGTTTCTGTGATGTATCACATTTTTTAAATTTGTGAATATAATACCAACCTTGAATCCCTAGAATAAATCCCACTTTAAGCATGATGTAAGATCTTTTTAATATATTGCTAGATCTGATTTGCTAATATTTTATTGAGGATTTTAGCATATATGTTCATGAGGGATATTGGCCTATAATTTTCTTTCTTTGTAATATCTTTGTAATGCTTTTGAAATTAGGATAATCTGGCCTTGTAAAAATGTCTTGGAAGTCTATTTTTCTCTTAAATATTTTGGAACAGTTTGAAGAGAATAAGTGTTCATTTTTCTTTGAATGTTAGGTAAAATTTGCCTGTGAAGCCATCTAGTCCAGGACTTTTGTTTGCTGAAAGCTTTGTGCTTACTGCTTCAATTTCATTAGTTGTTATTGACCTATTCAGGATTTCTGATTCTTCCTGATTGAATTTTGGAAAATTCTGTTTCTAGAAATTTGTCCATTTCACCCAGGTTGTCTAATTTGTTAGCATATAATTGTATCATTTTATTATAATCCTTTGTATTACTGTGGAGTCAGTTGTTACTTCTCCTCTTTCATTTCTCATTTTATTTATTTGGATCCTCTCTCTTTTTTTCTTGATGAGTCTGGTTATAGGTTCATCTATCTTGTTTATCTTTTCAAAGAACCAACTCTTGGTTTCAATGATCTTTTGTATTATATTTTTAGTCTCTAGGTCATTTATTTCCACTCTGATCTTTATTATTTTCTTCCTTCTGCTTACTCTGGGTTTTTCTTGTTCTTTCTCTAGGCATTTTAGGTGAAGGGTTCGATTGAGATTTTTCTTGTTTCTTGGGCTATGCCTGTAATGCTATGAGCTTTCCCTCTCAGAACTGCTTTTGCTGTGTCCTATAGATTTTGGGTTGTTTTGTGTTCAAAATGTATGCTTTTCATTATGGTCATCTTATAAAGTTTTCCATAAAATTTCCTATAAATTTTTCAAAGTTACATTTTATAGTTAATGAATTGTTGACACTTTTAACAACAGAAATCCTGATGAAATTATATTGAATCCAGAAAACCCCATTAAATTACATCTGTCTGTGACTTAAATCGACATTTATTTTAGGTACTTACTTATGGTTTTGTTTTTCCGTAAATGTCTGCCACAGAAAATACTTGGAGAATAGTTAAAAATATTCTCTTATTCAGTTTTGTTTAATGAATTTCTTTCTCTTTGTAGTAAATATATAACAAAATTATTAATTAATATTATCTTTAAAATGAAAGATTACTTAAAAATAATGAGGTATGTATTAACCCTATTTAAATGTAACCTACTATCTCAAAAGGCAGTATGGTTTCCCTAATAAGCACATTTTAAATATCAGGGTTGTTACTATTTTTACAAACTGATTGCATATATTTCAAATAGATAATTTCATCATTTTAACTTTTATATGGTGTTTCTTGTAAAACAAATGGATATTCTAAATGGACAGATGAAATAAAAATATGTAGGTTTAATTATTCACATATAAAGCCTACACCTCTACTAAAGAATAATGTAATTGAAGCTTCATATCAGTATTGGTGTTTTCTGCATGGTTGTTTTACTTTTGATACTATTGTGGTTTCCTTTATATTTTAGCAGCATATTTTAATGTGAAATGTGTCATTATTTTTTCTGCCATGCCTGCTTAACTTGTCCTTATGTAGCTTTGATTTTCACAGATGCCAGTATGACTTTTTGCCAGGAGGAAGAAATATTAAACCAAAAATTGTACAGCAGCATGGTGTAATGCAAGACATATAGACTTGAGTGTCAAACAAGTGGACTCAGGTTCAAAGGGCAGGCCTTCCACTTACTTTCTGAGGGATCACATCTATAATATGTGAATAATTAATGGGGAGGTTTAATGTGCCTAGCAGGTGATTACTAAATAGTGCTTATTTCTAGAGTATAACCTAAAAGGAAATTATGCATAGACACACTAGTGACCTGATTTACTAGGAAGCATTTGTTTATTTTTAATAAAAACAATGATATTAACAATGGAGCATCCCTTGTCATCTGGAAAATATACCAAGGAATAGATCAAAACAGAAAGCATGAGGCTAGACCTCTTTTGTTCTGCTGCCACCTTTAATCATTAGTTGGATGTTAGGAATGCAAAAGACAAAACACAAAAACAACAACAAAACTAAAGAATTGAAATACTTCTATTACAGAGGAAATCTTGGTTTTAAAACAAATCATTAACTATTTTTTAATGTAATTCTTGATTATTTAGGGAGTCAACATCTCTGGGAAAGAAAAACAAAGATTGTCAGAAAATAAGTTGGGAGCAAGAAGGGCTATAATCAAATAGAGAGTTTCCATAGTCACTTATTTAAGATTCCTAAAAAAGTGTAATTCAGATTAAAGAAAGAATAACATGTAGGACCATTATTTTTTCTGTAATTTTCTCTTGCATTTTTGGGAAAAACAACCATATCTCTCCTGCATAAACAGGCAAAAAATTGTGAACCCTGATTAACACTTTATGGCATGCTATTTGAAATTCACAGGCTTGAACAATAAATATTCATCTTTTTCCTTTTTTTCCTAGGTGCCTCCCATACTCCTTGATAAGCAGTTCTCTGAATTCACTCCGGACATTACACCAATCATTTTGGCAGCCCACACAAATAATTATGAGATAATAAAACTTTTAGTTCAGAAAGGAGTCTCAGTGCCCAGACCTCATGAGGTCCGCTGTAACTGTGTTGAATGCATCTCCAGTTCAGATGTGGATAGCCTCCGCCACTCACGCTCCAGACTCAACATCTATAAGGCCTTGGCAAGCCCCTCTCTCATTGCATTGTCAAGTGAAGATCCTTTTCTCACAGCCTTTCAGTTAAGTTGGGAGCTTCAGGAACTGAGCAAAGTGGAAAATGAATTCAAGTCAGAGTATGAGGAACTGTCACGACAGTGCAAACAATTTGCTAAGGACCTACTGGATCAGACAAGAAGCTCCAGAGAACTAGAAATCATTCTTAATTATCGAGATGACAGTAGTCTCATAGAAGAACAAAGTGGAAATGATCTTGCAAGACTAAAATTGGCCATTAAGTACCGTCAAAAAGAGGTGAGTGTTGCCATACTTTATCCATCAAAATGCCATAAAATTTAATCACAGTGCAGTAAACTGATACTACAAAATTAGGTATGAGCATTTTCATTCTTTCTTTTTATTTTATTTTATTTTTTCCATCACCCTTTACCCCCTCTATGTATGAGCATTTCCTTTTTTTAAAATTTAATTTAATTTAATTTTTTTATCACCATTTATCCCCTCTATGCATGAGCATTTTCTATTTAACTGTAAGTAGATGATGTTTATTGTTTGATTGATATTTATTTGTCAGATTAATAATTATGTAAGACATTGAAGAATGATAAATGATTTCATAATTGATGATGGTTTTGGTATCTCTATTAGAATGGACACATTTACTTCGGCATAATTTTAAAAACCCATAAATTTTAGAATTTTCAGACTGAGAGTTCTGGTTCTCTCATTTACGCCTTATTACTTTAGATAGTCACACAGATCTCCCTGAGCTTCTGTTTTCCCATCTACTTAATGAACTTTAAACGTATAACATTTGATTATATATGTATTTATCTATATAAAGGATGTCCCTCACAGATTTATAGGAAATGTAAAATGTGTGGATATATGTGAAGGCTCTTAGTGAATTATAAGATATTACATTAATAAAATACATTATTAGAAGTTATTAATAAAGGAAAAGTCTTTGGTCCAACAGTAGATAAAATACTAAAACTTTTCTAAAGTCTGGTTAAGTTTCTTGATTTTTTTAGGAATAAGAAGTTAAGAAAGTTAATAGTAGGAGAGTAATAAATTTCTCATGAAAAATTTCATGGATTTGAATTATAAAATAAGGAAATTCATATCTATTACACTTATTACCCACCATAATTGTGTTTTTGTTTCCATCACTGTTTGAGTGATTACTTCTATCTTCAGAAAATTGGTTCTCTGTTCAATTTTTAATTACAGTAATTATTTATTCCAGAACAACAATTTGAAAAAAAATCTATATAAGATGAAAAGGAAAGAAAAAGAAAATGAGATTTCTGAATTTTAAAAAAATGTATTTGATTCCTTTTGAACTTAGCTTTGAATTAGCCCTGGCTGCTTTGTCTATTGTTACTTACTAAATATTTATAATTCATGATACCTGAACATGCTTCCTCTAGTTTCTCTTGTAGTTTTTTTAGTCATTTGTCAGGGGAACCTGAACTTAGTTGAAAGGAGCTTTGCCTAACAAGGAAAGAAGCAACTTCTTTTGTGTGCATTGCATGTGATTCTAAAAACACATACGCTACTTTGAACTGTTTCAAAAATATTAATTCATTTTCATAGGTTCATGTGTTTAGGACTCAGGGATCTGATCATTTAAAGGGGTTAGAATCATTTGAATATACAACTATAAGAAACTGATGACAAACTTCATTTGATTAAAGATTTTAAAGTTTAAAAAATATGAAAGTTAAAAGTAATCCCATGCATTAGAACTGATAAAATGAGGTAAAATATTGATGTGGCCTCAGAATTTGGGCCAGGCCTTCTTAAATATATATTATTAACACAATATTATGTTTTACTTTATTTAGTTTTGAGGGAGAATGGGAATTTAAGGATTGACACAATGATTACAGAGGTCTTCTCTTATGATATATCTATTCAGTTTTGATATTATCCTATAAGTGATGAGTGTAATAAAATTCCCAGAATGCTCTATCCATGAAATAAAACAAAGAATACAGTAGCAGCCAGCTGTGCCCACTTGTTTCACTTTTGTTCTCACTGATAACTACAGTGATTTTGATCTTGATATCATAACTGATTTAACATTATCTTTGGCCAATATGACTTTTGTGAAGGCACTGAAAAAACCACTCTGATTCTTTTACCATACCCTCATAATGAAATACTACAGTGATATTTAATCAACTGAAGCTGCCAAATTCTTGTCAAGAGTTGTCCAAAACAAAACATTTAATATGAATTTCTTACATATAACATGTTAATATTTTTATCAAATATGTTTACATTATTATTGAAAAGTTACGTTTATACATTTCATTCATTTATTTCCTCTTTCACTAACTCTTTGAACATTTATTTTACAAAACACATTCCAGGCAACATGCAAGGCACTAAGGACTCAATGGTGGCATGGCTCTGCCCATGTACAGCTTTTAGTCTATTATGAAGAGGCAATTAAATATTAAATATATACTGTTCTCTGTTTTGTTTCTGAACAACTAAAAAGATCATTCTTACTAACCAGGTATGTGATATTAAAGAAATTATCCTTTGAGTTTATACTTTCTCTTCTTTATTTTTAATTATTTATGTTTTTCTAGAAGTATTTATTTATTTATTTTTATTTGTTGTTTATGTTTGTTTAAAATATTACAATGTCCCTTTTTCTCCCCAATGACCCATTTTACCCCATGCTATCCCCCGTCCCAGTCCCTCTCCCCACCATTGTCTGTTACCTTGGGTTGTACATATATGCATATAAATACTTTGGTTAATCTCTCCACCTCCAACCAGCATCCCTCCTCCATCCCTCTGACATTCGTCAGTCTGATCTATGCTTCCATGTCATTGAGTCTATTCTGTTTAACAGTTTATTAAGTTCTTTAGATTCCACATATAAGCGAGATCATATGATGTTTGTCTTTTTCTGCCTGGCTTATTTCACTTAGCATAATATTCTCCAGGTCCATCTATACTGTCCCAAAAAGTACAAGATCCTTCTTCTTACAGCTGCATAGTATTCCATGGTTTATATGTCCTACAGCTTTTTTATCCATTTATCTACTGATGGGCACTTTGGCTGTTTCCAGATCTTAGCTATTGTAAATTATGCTGCTATGAATATAGGGCTGCATATATTCTTTCTGATTAGTATTTCAGGATTCTTAGGATATATTCCTAGAAGTGGGATCACTGGGTCAAAGGGCAGGTCAATTGTTAATGTTTTGAGGAACCTCTATACTGTTTTCCATAGTGGTTGCACCAGTCTGCATTCCCACCAGCAGTGTACTAGGGTTCCCCTTTCTCCACATCCTCACCAGCACATGTCATATGTTGATCTGTTGATGGTAGACATTCTTACAGATGTGAGGTGATACCTCATTGTGGTTTCAATTTGCATCTCTCTGATGATTAGTGACTTTGAGCATTTTCTCATATGTCTCTTGGCAATCCGTATGTCCTCTTTGGAGAAGTGTCTATTCAGGTCCTTTGCCCAATTTTTAATTGGAGTTTTTGTCTTCCTCTTGCTGAGTAGTATGAGTCCTTTGTATACTTTGGAAATTAGCCCCTTATCAGATACATCATTGGGAAATATGTTTTCCCAGACCAAGAGGTTCCTTTGTATTTTGTGGCTGTTTTCTTTGGCTGTGCAGAAGCTTTTTAGTTTGTTGTAGTCCCATATGTTTATTTTTTCTTTCATTTCTTTTGCCCTAGGACATATATCAGTGAAAATTCCACTACATGGGATGTCTGTGACTTTATTGCCTGTTTTCTTCCAGAATTTTTATGGTTTTGTGACTTACATTAATTTTTGTGTATGATGAAAGTTGGTGGTCTAGTTTCATTTTTTTGCATGTAACTGTCCAGTTTTCCCAGCACCACTTATTGAAGAGACTGTATTTACTCCATTGTATGCTCTTGCCTCCTTTTTCAAATATTAACATAGCATAATGATGTAGGTCTATTTCTGGGTCTATGTTCTGTTCCATTAATCTATATGTCTGTTGTTGTACCAATACCAGGCTATTTTGATAACAATGGCTTTGTAGTATAGTTTGATATCTGGTAAAGTGACTCCACCCACTTTGTTCTTTTTTCTCTTGATGGCTGCAGCTCTTTTGGGTATATTTTGGTTCCATATAATTTTTTGAAATGTTTGTTTTAGATCTGTGAATTATGCTGTTGGTATTTTAGTAGGAATTTCATTGAATTTATAAATTGATTTGGGTAGTATGGACATTTTAATGATATTAATTCTTCCAATTCATGACCATGGTGTATTCTTCCACTTGTTCATATCTTCCTCTATTTCTTTTTTTAGTGTCCCGTAGTTTTCTGGGTACAGGTATTTTACATCGTTGGTTAAGTTTATACCTAGGTATCTTATTTTTTTAGTAGCAATGGTAAATAGAATTGTTTTTTTAGTTTCTCTCTCTGAAAGTTTGTTGTTAGTGTTTAAGGATGCCATTGATTTCCAGATGTTGATTTTTGCATCTGGTCCCCTTCCCAAATTCGTTTATCAAATCTAGTAGTACTTTGGTGGAGTCTTGAGAATTTTCTATGTACAATATCATGTCATCTGCAACTAATGACAGTTTTACTTCCTCCCTTCCAGTTTGGATACCTTTTATGTTTCCTTCCTTGCTGATGGCTGTGGCAAGGACTTCCAGTACTATGTTGAATAAGAGTGGTGAAAGTGATCATCCCTTTCTTGTTCCTGATTTAGGGGAAATGGTTTTAGTTTTTGACCATTGAGTACGATGTTGACTGTAGGTTTGTCATATATAGCCTTTATTATATTGAGGTATGATCCCTCTAGTCCCACTTTACTGAGAGTTTTTATCAGAAATGGGTACTGGCTTTTGTCTAATGCTTTTTCTGCATCTATTGATATGGTCATGAATTTTGTCCTTCATTTTGTTTATATGATTTGTCACATTTATAGATTTGCAGAGGTTATACCAGCCTTGCATCCCCAGAATAAATCCCACTTGGTCGTTGTGTATGATCTTTTTAATGTATTGCTGGATTCAGTCTCCTAGTATTTTAGTGAGGATTTTAGCATCTTTGTTCATCAGGGATGTTCACCTGTAATTTTCTTTCTCTGTATTGTCTTTATCTGGTTTGGGGACTAGGATGATTCTGGCCTCATAAAGAGTTTGGGAATTTTCCCTCCTCTTGAATTTTCTGGAATTGTTTGAATAGAATAGCTGTTAATTCTTCTTTGAATGTTTGGTAAAACTCTTGTAAACCTGTCTTGTTCAGGACTTTTGTTTGCTGTGAGTTTA